GATAAAGATAGTGTAATAAATTTAGTATCTGGTAAATGACTTCTTGTTTGTACCGCAGGTTAACGTCAGTTTGTCACGGTGTGATTCCTAGGGCCCCTCAGGCAAAAGGTAACGACTGATAAAAGGGTATTTATGGGAAATACGAAACAAAACAGGAAATTAAAAATGTTTTTTTTAGTACAGCAGTATCACTGCAAATCATTAGGAGACAGAGGCAGGTTTATATGCCTCTAATTCACAAATACTTCTACAGAATCTTTTCATTCAGTGTCTGGTTTCCATCCTTGCTCCCTCCGCAGCATGATTCCTGATCGCCCCTCAAACGCGAGTACAGCCCCAGTGCAACCTCAGCATACTTGAATTGCACACAGTCGTGCACATGTAATCCACCTTCTGCACAGGTAAGGTTTTAAAACCTTATTGCTTAGTTTTATCCATCAGAAAGGCTTTAGCAATGACAACACTAAAGCTGTTTTTGTTCCTGCTGTGCTTGAGAGCTTGAATATTCTTTCAGTGGCACTACAGACTACGTTACAATGAGCAATGCTGGTGAAGGGACAGGAGGTGAAGGGGATAAAAGTGACAATTAGGAGAGAGTTTTGTCTTTAGTCAAAATCCCTCTAAGGCAAAGATTTTCTTAAAACCAAAAAACAAACAAAAAACCCCCAAACTTTTCCCAAGCCTCAGCTCTAAACAATTCCATAGTCTGTGTCATGCTCGAAATGAAATACAGACTCAAAATACAGGGACTCATCTCTATTCACTCACTTTGCTTTCTTCAGGAAGTTTTCACTGAATAACAGTGCCAAAATAGGCCAGTCCATCCTGGAATGCAACTTTTAAGCACCCTGGCCTCAGGAAGGGAGGTCTCAAGTACAGAGGCCATCCTGTTAAGGGAAGAAAATCCTCAGCAGTGGGACTAGCTGTGAGAATAAAGTCGTATTTATATAATAAATACTGCCATGTTGGGGAACTATGAGGTAGTAGTCCTATTTATGCAGAGCAGAATTGTTTTCAACGGCACCTTTTCTTTCCAACCTAATTTCTCACAATGCAACCCATTATGACAGAAGGATCTGAAAAAGCTTTTTATATCCTACCAAATATACACAAGGATAATTAGTTCTCTTTTGTTATTCTTCTGTAAGGGTTTATTATTGTGGAGAAGCTTTTGCAAATTGAAAGATGTTGCATTGCATTCTGAAGGCAGAGCTGTTCTTGGTCTTTATTGTGTAGAGATAATTGAACAGAAAAGTTCAGGAAAAAAGGTGAAAATATAATTCATTATGAACTCTACAGAAAGATCAGATTACCACATCTTAAATTCCTTTTAGACCAGTATTTTATAATCACATTCCACAATATGTTAGGTCATGCAATGTAGATGAAGCTTCATACTAGATAGAAGCAAATGTCAACGCAAGTTTTGTTTCCTAACATTATAAGCATTTTCTACAAAATTTACAAATCACATCATATCTAGTAAGTATTCCCTTTATAATCTGCAGGTATTTTGACTATCAGTGAAGAAACTCAGTCTTAGAAGTCTCCAAAGAACTTAATTCACTATAAGTGATAGTTACATTCTTTCCCTCAAACAATTCCCAAAAGTAGATTCTAATACTGACTCATTGTGTTTTAAGAAATTTAGGGTTGAGACTTCTTATATAATGAGCCTACTGGGTTTCACTTTGTCAATGTTGTTACATTCCACGCTTTTAGCTAATTTCCAGTTACACTGGGAATTAAAGAGCCACTGGCCTGTGTCTACCATTGTTCCACTGCCTGGCTCTGCCTTTAAAATTCACATCTCATGGAAGCTGGTGTAGTTGGTCAGGTGCAATTATTTTGCCCCCAATCTACCATCTGTGGCTTTTTGGGTGGTTTGAGGTTTTTTTGGCCTCTGCTCCTTCTGCCTTATAGACATGAGGCCGGCTCTGTAGCTGTTGGAAGTGTTATTCTTCCTTTTAGTAATGTCTCCTTACATAAATTGAATTATGATGTACATTTTTAAGGTAAGCCTCTTTGAAGAATTCTAAACCCATACTCTCACTCTTCCATGTCAGGGCCTCAAAACACACATAAAAACAAGATAAAGGGCCAGACTTGTGCCTAGTTGGAAAGATGAAACTGTATGTGGTGAAAGCTTAACTGTGTTTGGAAAAGTAAACGTGTTCTCTTCCAATTTGAGAGCATCAAGTTCAATTTCTTGCTCTGTTTTACAGTTTCTATGGCAGTTTTTGTGCAACAAATTATTTAATCTCTCTGTATCTGAATCCCCTCTCTATAAAATGCTGTAACAACACTTCACCTCAGAGACATTTAAGTATACATGTAAATCTTATCAATACCATAAACATTGTTCTTTTAGCTGTATCTTTTAAAGGTACTAAGTTGTCCAGAGGAGGTAACTCTGTAACAAAACCAATATGTATTTAAAGACAAAAGACTCTATGTTTTTCTCCATGTACTAAGTCTCATCTTTATCCCAACTACCCTTAAAACAATTCTACTTTAAATAGGACATTTTTGTGTCATCAACAGTCTTCAGCAACTTAAATCAGGATGTTAAAAAGGAAATATATTTTTTAAATTACAGAGATTGATGCTTTTTGAAACATGCTAATAAAGAAAGAAAATTTCTAGGATGAATCAGTCTGTCCATGTGTTAAGTTTTATAGCTGAATTATAAACCTTTGGCAATGTGATGTCCATAACAGAAATGTTTATGCATCCTTAACAACAGCTGTGCAAGCAACAGCACCCAAATACAGCACACAGATAAAGATTTACACTAGAAAAAGAGAAAAACCTTTACCTTTCAAATCTAAATAATACATAATTCTGAGGCACTAAATATTTCCTATTGTAGTAGAATCACGCATATGAAGCGCTCAACTCTATGTATTGTCACTGCTTTCCATCTTTCAATCCCTTCATTTATGCTGAGAAATTGCAAATCCTTTATGCATGGAGCATTGAAAATGTATAAATATTTTTGAAGAGGTTTCTTAGAAATGAAAAAGCTCTGGTCTTATTTGAGTCAGCCTGTGATCTAATCATAACTTGTGTCAATTATGAAGTCTCAGAGACTGAGGATTTGTTTTAAGCAAACAGGGTTTTATTCTTTCTTGTATTTTACGAAAACAGAAATTTCATGCAACGTTCTTGAACGAAATATAAGATACCAACTTTTAAAATTCAAATCTATTACTGTACTTACTCACACATAGGAGATACTGCTGGGTCTAACTGCTGTTAAAATTTAGAAAAACACTCAGTTCATGGCTGCAGAATGGATGGAATAGCGTGCCAGTATCTATCCACATGACTTACGCACACATATGCCCCCAAGCAAACACATTCACATCAATATTAGTTTCCCTGTCCCTCTTTCCCAATCCAGATCTAATTGCCTATGTTGTAATATAATTGCTTCTTCCAAGCTTTTGGACTTCATTAACTACTTTCAAAGAAAAGATGAACTTACAAGTTCGTTCACTGAAAAGAAAATAGACAATTCTAGTGACTTACTTTTTTAAATGAAAGCTGTGTCTTTCAGGGAATTACATTATTCCAAGCGGTAAGACTGAGGTAGAGTCAAACACTGCAAGATGCCTGCAAGGATCACACGAACTGGCAAAACTGTTTGAGATATTCACAAAAGCTAACTACAAGTGAAGCTAGTCTTCCTATTGTTCCCTCTAGAGTAAACAGAAGATGGACTCGTCCATGAAAGACACCAAATTAGGCTCTCAGTCTGAACTGGACACAGCAGGAACTTTTTATACACTGTTGAAAGTCAATTAACTCAGGTGGGTGACACTTAACCTCATCACACCTTGGGCAAGTGACCATGCTATGAATTTTAGAGCTGTAGATGCACTCTATTGCAAATAAATTAGGATATTGAAAAAGGATTTGGACTTCTACACTACTGGTAACTTTTTTTCCTTATAGCAAGGAAGTTTCTTCACCAAAACACCCTCAACTTCAGTGGTGAACTTAGAGGAGGAGATGCTTCAGTCTCCCACTGATTTCTCTCTTGAACTCCCTGGTAAGCTACCAACAAGACAGCCAGTTGGTACCAACAATAAAGTTTGGAATGAGAATCAGAAAGAAAACAGCAATGCTGGTGCAACAAAGCTTTAGCCTTGTTGGAAAAAATTTTGGTCAAAAGAGAGTGGAGAAAACTTCTAACAATTTCTCTGGCAAGACAATTTGTTGACATAGCCGTTACCCTGCTCATCCAACACAAACCATATGCTTTCTTCAAAATATAAAAGATGTTAATTACTCAATAAGTGCTGCCCAAATACCCTGTCTACAAAGATTCTTCATGGGCTAAGAAATCTTCCAATAAGCTTTACACAGATGATTAGTTAGGCATTCCTGTCTTACTAGGCAACCTTTCTGGATTTAGAGCACAGTATCAGTGTCCATCTGATGTGAATGTGACAAACTTCAGGAAGGGTTAAAAGGAAAAAAAAAGAGTAGTGAATTCATATTGACTTTTTTCAGTCATGATAACTAAAATATACAAGAGCATGGTCATCAGCTCACAGCAATGACCAGCTGGACCTGGCAACAGGGGATGGTTACGTGGAAACCACGCTCAAAACTTGATTAGAAACATATTATTTAAAAGTCTCTTAACTGTTATAGTGGAACAGAGAAAACAGTTCCACTATAAAAAAAAGAATCAAAACTCATGGCCCAAAGCAATAACACAAGTATCTTACAATGAGCTCGATATACTTGCCAACTGACATTCCCAGGAAGAAAATATGCTGCTATACAGTTTCTCCCTATTTGCAGGTAACTGGCAATTCAAAAACCTTCAAAACTGGCAAAAGCAGGAAAGAATAATACTTCAGTAATTTCACATTCGTACTGTAATTAAAAAAGATAGAGCCTTTTTAAGTTAACTATGATAACTTCAGCTTGGCATGAATCATATCCTTGAAGAGTCAAAAGAGTAATTAAAAAAAGAGACTTACTTATTCCATGCTTGTCTAAGGTTTTTAGGGCTGTACTGTGTAAACCGTTCTGTAAGAGAAAGAAGAGACATATTCAATTATTTACGCTAAAACCAGGAATTTTTTTCAAATATATTTATCTACTGTCAATTTTAATAATTTCATCATTCCTATGTAACTACTGCAGCTCAAGTCCCAAGACAGGGAAAGAAAACCATCATAGGGGTAACTGCCATACAAACAGGGAGAAAAAAAACCCCAAAACCCCAAAATCGAAAAAAGACCCCAACTTGCTAAAACAAACAAACAAAACAAAGCAAATTAAAAAATCATGACCTGAAGCTCATTTACTGCAGCATCACCAGAAATTGAAATTTATACAATTACTTCTAAACTAGTTTTTGACTGCTAGGGAAAAAAAAAAAAAGAAGCCTGAAATCTAATATTTTTTTCTTTGTCACCAATATACAATTCCCTGTGCCTCGCTGTCATGTTTTTATGTTCCTCAGGAGGCATAAAAGTAAGTGTGGGTCTGTGTGACACACAGGGACACACAAAACATGACAGCCACATAAGAGTCCATTTTTTAAAGAACACATATAAATAATGAGCAGAAGTAACAAGTACAATGACAGCTTATTTACTCAAATATTTTTAGGTTCTTAAATTCAGATAGAAGTACTTTCTATCTCTCATATCCAAGAAGATGCTTGCTCTGCAGTAGGACTCTAGTTGGCAGCGGAAGATGTTATGAAAGCTGCTGCAGAAATGAAGAGCCAGTACTCTGTTAGCCCCCTGAGCAGGAGCTAAGTGCCTCTCAGGAAGAAACAAATGCAATCCAGCTGGAGAATATAATAAGATTTTCCATGCAGCCTCATCGCACTGAAATCCTACCGTGTACATTGGTGCTCGCCCTGGCCAACTACCCTAGTGTGATGTCATTAGTTGCTATGAAGAAGTCATAAAGTTACAAAATATTCCATAAAAACTCGAAAATTAATTTTGCTTCTTCTCCACCCGTAAGCATGACAATTAATAGCCACACTGTACAGTCACAACAGTATTTTTTATATATATATGGACACACATATGCATGCATCTTACCGTGCAAAACAACTATAAATGTAACCAGTTTGTGTTCAAATTCCTGTATTTGTACACTTTGCTTATGTCAGTTCTAAAGTTGTCATATATACTTCATGCATAACCAGTTCTAAAGAAGCAAAAACTACGACACATACAAAATCCTAGCATCAATGCGGATGATTTTGTTTCTTATACCTATTTTTCTTTTTTTTTTTAGATAAAAAGAGGTATGCAGAAACTTCAACTCTCATTGTCTTCCCTGTTGGAAGTTTTCAGTAAATGGTAGACCTGCAAACTGTGTCTGAGGGCCATTTCACATTTACAAATTTTGCTGTTTTTAACCATACTGATGCAGTTAAGGCAATGAAATCACTTCCTGTTAGATATGTCTGACAAATGTACTGGAAACTGGAAGCTACATGACTATAACTAGTTTTAGCACCAATATGAATTATAAATATCGCTTATGTAATATTGTACCTAAATTTACTCAACTTTCTTAGCAAAGGAATGCTAACTACATAGTCATACTGTTAAAGGCTTTTAGATGTAGATGAACATACAAAAGTTTGAAAGATTTTTTGTTGGTTTTTTTTTTTGGTTTGGGTTATTTTTTCTTTGTATTACCAACAAAAAGTTTCTGCTCTTGGAAAATATTTGACTACTGTAGATGACCTGTAAAGTAGCACCTAGCTGACTTCTGTCAGAATGAAGATGTTTAGCTAAGAAAAGAGACGAGTCTCAGCAACTCTCCGATGTGCTATCATTACACATTTCTCAACAAACTAAAATTATTAGGTTGAACTTTTACGAACCATGTTATAGTGTTATAAACCTTAATTTGTCATTAGGATTAGGATATTGTAAGAAATAAATTATAGGACATGTGGTACATTTTACTAACAGAAAATGTACTGCTCTATAAATATATCTCCCCAAATAAAATATTTTTATTGCCAATTTTGTGCACATTTCTTAACATACTGGAACTCATTTCTGATATGTCTCATTGTTGAATATGCTACCATATTACTTAGTGTGAACCTGAGAAGCATTAGATTTGATACCATACTACTGACACATTATCCTAAATTTTGTAAATTAGAAGCTCTACAGTACTTTCCAATTACTGCTAACGTCAGTTATCCCAGGCACTTAGCAGCTTGGATACTATAAAAAGGAAAAGCAATTTAAACCATTGTGGTAGGTTTTTTTCTCTATTTTCTGTTAAGTCTCAATACCTCAATGAGTGCAGAATGTAAGGGTTAAAGAGGGGGAGGAAAAGAAGTTGCTGGGTACATTCTTACTGAGAGCAGCGAGTGAAGAGGCTTCCTTACAATTTTTTGTGTTCACATATTACAACAAAATAACTTATCACACCTGAGGCATTCAGATTAAAACTATAGGAAGTGCCAATTTCTTTTTATCTCTATTATACATTGCATGCAATGCATCTACTACAGATGTGCCAATGCCTCAAGGCAGCTCTTTAAATCAAATGGGCAAAGCAGTCAGGATCATTATTAGATGCAGCTGTGGTTCAGTACCAGTAACATGGCACTGGAGTCAGTGCCTGTGATTATGCTTTAATATCCAATATCCAATCCACAAATAAAAACTCAATATAGAAGTACATGTTCTGTAGTAAGTAGTTCAAGCATCGTATTGGCATTGAGAGTACGACCCGAACTTACAAGGGAGAGGAACATTACAATTCAAATTGTACCTATTGTTCACTAATTCAGCTTCTGCTCGCCAGAGGAAAAGCCTGAGCTCCAGTAAGGCTAATAGCCAAGTTGCATTGGCCTCAACAGGACCTAAGCTCCCCCTTGAATTTCAGTGTACAAATGTGAATTAAAAACATATATGGAAGCAGATACTTACCCATAAAAACTAGAAGAAAATAAAGACTTTCTATATAAGTAAATAGTCCAACCATAGCACTGTCCATTCATTTATGACAAAGGACTGAAAAGTAAGATGTAGCCAGGCAGTGCCGTGAAACAACAAGTTTGAGATACGCATGGCAGTTCAACTAATAAAGTGCAGATTTGCACATTAATCTATTTTGGTGCAGAAAAGTGCTGTGTAGAAAGAGAACTGGACTGGAAGCATTGCTGAAAAGCTAACCTAGAACTGGGGAAAGACAGATTTTGATTTTATCTGTCATTCTGCAATATGTTTGTCAGATTCTGAGCCGGTTCAAACTGGCAAAAAACACTGACTTCAACAGAGCTACATCCACTTAAAATGGTTGAGAAGTAACATATACAACATTTTCTTGACTGGACTGTCAGAGGTTCACTTTAATCAATTTAAGCTATTTACACTGTGGGAGGAAAGCACAGAGTCAACAACTCGGCCAAATTGCCTTAAGGCCTTAATGTCCAAAGATCTAAAGATCTGTTTCAGTTCTGCAAGAACCTGAAAACTGTTGCCATGCCAGATGAGTTTTTACTGAAAAAGTGATACACTGGAACCAGTTATTTAAATGCTGTCATAAGGGGCATGCATAAACAAAATGAACAAACTTCTCAAAGGGGATCTTCCTTCTTTAGTCAGTCTACTGCTCTACTCTAAACCTCTCTTAAATAAGTACCTTATACACCATATTTATCAGGCAGGGAGAGGGAAAACTAGGGGGAAAACATGGATAGGTGAAACCCTGCCTATAGAGAGGCAAACATTAGTCCTGAGTCTTTAATTTCAAACTCCATTTCTATGCTGTGTGACTGCAGATCATGCTTCTCCTAACCATTGGTATCAACTCTTTCC